CTGCCAATACGTGTAATGTATGTAGCACTGTCATGGACTACACTGCCTCGGCCTCATGGAATGAAATTAAGCTAGCCTGCATTGTCTGACATTTATTTTACTACAACTCTAGTTTTCTTTTCGACCTTATGTACAATGAACAGAACAAGCCTTAATTATAATGAACAGAACAAAAAAAAAGATGAATAATGTCGGTTTTATTTAGAAATGGAAAGATGTATTTTGACATTCATGGTGCTCAAGGGTTTTACCCAAGTCAGAAAGAAATGAGATCGATTATAAGCAATTAGAATAACTTTGTTTACCTCTACTATTTCTAAGATTCTGATTTTCTTAAAAATATTATATGTCACCATTCACATTATAGAAATAAGATTTTAATTAGAGAAAATAAATGAGCAAACACATCTAATGCGCCACTCGGAAAGGTCACAAGTTTAAATCAAATGACCAATTCTTAATGCAGTATCCGTGCACTGGAATCATAAATAACTTTCCTCCCCTTAACTCAGAGGCAAATAGGTTGGACACAGCAGCTCCGACTTCCATTATATCCACGCTGAATATGGTCATTTTTTATCCTTTAAGTAGATGTGATTTCCTCAGTAGTAAAATATGACTTTCTTTTTCTAAAACTGGCTGACCCTAGATTATATAATAAAACAGAAATCATGGAACACTTATTCAGCACAATTCATAATTTGAGGACCTCATCAACTCATCTTTTAATTGTGTAAGAGAGTTGAAAACCTACTGTGTAATATGTGACAAGTTTAATAATCAAGAAACAAACCAAAAGCCTGGGATCTTAACCGAGAATTGACCAGAAAAAAATGACAAAAATACATTAATTTCTTTTCAGAATTGCTTTCCAATTAAGATGTATGTCAGCAATAGATATATTCAAATAAATTTGAATTGTACAATTTTCATTGTACTATTAACGACCCTAGATTAACTTTCTTGTTCTTGGGGTTATATTCAATCACAGAACATCAGGACTCATGATATTTGAAAGAAATGTTCAATAATTTAAAATTATGGGCTTTGAAGATATATTGCCTGGGTACAAAATATCAACTAAAATACACTGTACCTATGATTTACCATCTAAAGTCAAAAGAAATCACTTGATTGTTGATATTGAAGATAGATACTTTTGTAAATATAGTACAGATGTCTATTTTTAATTAAAGACAATACAATAAGTCAAGGTCTCCTAAGAATACTTTGAAACAGGAGGAAATGTGAACTTCATGAAATATTTAATATTTTGTGTGAAGTATTCTGTGTCACCTGTTAAAACTTGTATTAGTCACCATCTGAATATTTTGTTTAGTTACCATTTAGCTGATTTAGATGGGCTTCCTAAATAAGGGCTATTTTCATCATCTCCTGGCTCAACTCACATAAATTAGTGAAAACTAACAATCTCACCTGCAAACAAATTAGCCTGTCACACTGTCATCAAAGCTAGAAGACAGAATAGAAGGCATGTCCGAGACAAAGAGCTTGCTTGCTCGCCCCACCCCATGATTTTAGAGGATCAAATGAGATACAAACAGGACCAGGGATGGAGTGCCTTTCAGAGCTAGCCTGGCTTTGATCCACCTGTGGCACCTCCTCTCCCTGGTGCCCGAGTGTTTATTCCAGAAAGAGTCTACAACGTGAGCATGACACATGGTCTTGGGAAATCTCAGTCTTTTATTAGGGGCTGCAAACAAAGCCACCTGCCTTTTTCTTCACGGAGAAACAGAACAGTATTAGACACAAACAAATGTGCCCTCTCGCAGGGGGTGACTTCTCAGTCTTGTAAGATTACTGCTCTAGGAACATCCTTGAAAACAGTTCCTGAATACACGGCAGTACCATGCTGGTGTGGATGCTTCCCCACCCCCCCCACCCCCACATCGTCAGGAATCACTAAATACAGGTGTATAGGCTTCTTTGAAAAAAAAAAAATATGAGAGATTCCTTAGGAAAACATCATCTGGAACTACCCCCAACACTTTAAAAACATCTTTAGAATGAATATTTTATCACCATCTTCCTGGTTATCTTTGTCTAAGTAGGAAAAGAAATTCATTTTGAGGCTTTTAAATAATCATATTATTTTAGAAGTGTTCGCCAAACTCTTTACCTGATTGGTGTATTTTTTTTTTTTTTTTTTTTTTAGTTTAGTTTTTCGAGACAGGGTTTCTCTGTAGCTTTGGAGCCTGTCCTGGCACTAGCTCTTGTAGACCAGGCTGGCCTCGAACTCACAGAGATCCGCCTGCCTCTGCCTCCCGAGTGCTGGGATTAAAGGCGTGCGCCACCACCGCCCGGCAGGTGTATTTTATATATTAGTTAGGATAGTCTATACTGAATCATAATTTATTTCCACTGGGTACCGTCACGGATGTCTGCTCACTATAGTTTTCAAGGACACAAGCAGTTGGGAGCAGCAATCAGCATGTTGCCATGCTTGACAAACTACAAAACAATCTGGGAAGGTCTCACACCCCAAATTCACTCAAAATGCATTTGCAGAACCACTTAGCCACTTGTAGCAGATCAGAGGAAGCAAGAGCAAAATTACCAGATGCGGGAATGAGGAGCTGGCCATGGTGCGTGGAAAGGGTTCGGAGGAACTCGCTTATACCGTGGCTAGCAGAAATAAGAATCAACATATAAGAAGTCATTAGTGAAATAGTCATAGAAAATTACCCCAATATGAGTCAAGGCAAATATGTGAAGAATGTGAAATTATCAACATTTTTAGAACAGACTGAGGTTAATAGTTTTCTCATCGCCTGTTGCGTTAGACATATACTCTTGAGTAGCGTTCATATGAATCCTCCGGGGAAATAATCTAGGTATTTCCTCTTTCTGACATCAAACACTACTTTTGTAAAGGACCGTTATTAAACTGGGCCAAAACTATTTAGTATTTCATGTAGTTTAAGCATTCTTATTAAACTGAGTTCAAATTTAAGTACTCCAAACTCTGTGCTGGTAGTGGACATTTTGAAAGTGGCTTCCCAAGTAATTGGGATAGGCAGGATTGCCTGAGACCAAATATGGGTTATTTTCAAAAGGTGACAAATACTTGTGTATATTAAAAAACATGAGCAAGGAAGTCAGGGCCGCGAGGGGTGCACCCACCCACTGTGATGGTGGGGCTGATATAATGGGAACTCACCAAGGCCAGCTGGACTGGGACTGATGGAGCATGTGATCAAACCAGACTCTCTGAACTTGGCTGACAAGGAGGGCTGACTGAGAAGCCAAGGACAATGGCGCTGGGTTTTGATTCTACTGCACGTACTGGCTTTGTGGGAACCTAGTCTGTTTGGATGTTCACGTTCCTAGACCTGGATGGAGGGGGGAGGACCTTGGACTTCCCACAGGGCAGGGAACCCTGACTGCTCTTTGGACTAGAGAGGGAGGGGGAGAGGGGATGGGAGTAAAATGAGAGGAGGGGAGGAGGTGAAAATTTGTAATAATATTCCTGAGGATGCCTATGTGTTTGTCTTTGGATTCACCTTATTTAGCTTCTCTAGGAACATGAATTATAAGCTCAATGTCCTTTATTAATGGCTAGAAACCAAATATGAGTGAGTACATCCCATGTTCCTCTTTTTGGGTCTGGCTTACCTCACTCAGGATAGTGTTTTCTATTTCCATCCATTTGTATGCTTCATCAGGCGATGAAAGGAGACAGAGACAGAGACCCACACAGGAGCACCAGACAGAAATCTCAAGGTCCAAATCAGGAGCAGAAGGAGACGGAGCACGAGCAAGGAACTCAGGACCATGAGGGGTGCACCCACACACTAAGACAATGGGGATGTTCTCTTGGGATCTCACCAAGGCCAGCTGGCCTAGGTCTGAAAAAGCATGGGATAAATCCGGACTAGCTGAACATAGCGGACAATGAGGAATACTGAGAATTCAAGAACAATTGCAGTGGGTTTTTGATCCTACTGCACGTACTGGCTTTGTGGGAGCCTAGGCAGTTTGAATGCTCACCTTACGAGACCTGGATAGAGGTGGGCAGTCCTTGGGCTTCCCACAGGTCAGAGAACCCTGATTGCTCTTCGAGCAGATGAGGGAGGGGGACTTGATCGGTGGAGGGGGAGGGAAATGGGAAGCGGTTGTGGGGACGAGGCAGAAATCCTTAATAAATAAATAAATTTAAAAAAAATTGTAATAATAATAATAAAGAAAAAAGAAAAAAACAAAACAGTACTAACAGTATTGACAACAATATAATGCATTCATCTTATTAATGACTACAGATTAAAGCAATGATGATTTTTGAGTAAATAATAATTTTGAGAAGTCAGATATATGGTGTCTCTGTACTATGGACAGTTAATATAGAAATTTGGAAAACAATGCCAAGCTAGGCAACATACTTATTGACATTTTCTAATGCAACCCTTACCTTGGTGCAAGAGATTAGTAAAATTATAAAAAAGAATTCCTCATGTGATTTTCAAAAGAAATGATCTATACTGAATATTAGTTGTCCAACGATCAGAGATTTCTATGGATTAGTAACTTTCCCCTACTGAGTGCTCCATCAAAGAGAAATCCAAAGAAAACCAAGTAACACTTATCAGCTTTTCATAATGTATAGAATAAAAACCATATATTTTAATAGCATTATTCCTGCTTAAAGCTATTAAAGAACATTAGGTAAAACCAAAATGGTCACCCGTAAGGGACATATCAGTATAACATCAGAAATTCAATTGGTCAAATCCTCTGAGGTAGCGTTACTATGTCCCTGGACCAGGCATGCCTGTGTACTCTGAGTACTCAAATATAGATATTGTATTACTACAGCATTGTGAAAATAAGTCCTCACTATAGACCTTTCTTGCCACATTGATTAGAAATTCAAATATCTCTTAAAGCTTCAAAAATACATCATACAAGTATGCATATTCATTCGCAAGTGGGAAAGAGACCTTAAATAAAAATAAATAAATAAAAATGTAGGTACAGAAATGTCACTGCAGCATAATTTATTTTTGCGCTTAAGTCACACAAGAACTTGAAATAAATGAAGACCACTACATGATGTCGGTGAGCAACTTTCCCAGCCCTACTTCCTTTCCTCTTTAAACGCACATGCTAATGGACAAGAGGGATTAGATGCAGTCTACTTTTTCTTCCATTGGCTGACTTTGTAGAGAATTATAAACCACGAAATGAAATTGAGTAAATGTTGGAAGTTTGTTGCAAGCAGCACCTTGAGTCAAAAAAAAAAAAAAAAAAAAAAAAAGGAGAGGGTTACTGGAGGCATGTACTCAGGACCAAGAGAGATAGCATTTGCTAGACATTGGCTCTTGCATGCCTATGCTCACATAGTATATGTATGTATATAATCTACATGCTACCCTTCATAGTGGTAGTTGATGGTCATAGAAGAGGAGGAGATAAGGTGGTAATATAGCCTTTTAAAAACTTATTTTATTTTATGTCTATAAGTATTTGCCTGGATGTATGTGCCTGGTGTCAAGGAGGTCAGAAGAAGACAGACATCCTGAAACTGGAGCACAGATGGCTGAGAGCCACCTTGTGGGTACTAGGACCCAAACATCGGACATGTGCCAAAACAAGTGCTCTGAATTTCTGAGTCATTTCTCCAGCCCTTAACTCACCCCTGGACCATCCGACAAGCAGCTGGTTCCCTTCCCCAATACACTTGCTGTCGCTCTAGTATTTCACTCTTCCAACCCTTTCTTAGGAGAAATTACCAAAGCTTTTAATTTCCTAGCAACAAGAACATCCTCTTACCTATAAGTCGTTTCTAAATGCCTGCTTCCCTTCCACCCTGCTCTTTCACTCTCAAAGGCAAGAAGAGTTGTTTGCCAATCTGCTTTCTCTCTAAGTTTAGTTTCTGTTTGCACACCTGCGGGGGAGAAGTCTTTCTGCCATGACTTTATTAGGAAAGAGTCCAGTTTTAATTTTATAGTAAGATAATTAGTATCTTCCCACCCTGCTAAATGTAAATTTGGGCCTTCTGTGGCTTATCTGTTAAAAGGGAATCATTAAACTGCCTTATTTCATACATAAAGCAGCCCGCATAACTTTCTTTGACTCTTCTATCTCAGAACTTAAAAAAGAATGCGGAATTCTTCAAACGAGCTCTTCAAATACAAAAGTGTGGGAAGTAAAAGATCAAAGAACAGCAATGAGCAGTCTAACCTAATAAGCTCTATTGATCGGGAAGCTGCACATATTCTCCATCTGAAAGCACAGTGATGAGAACCAGCATGGTTGACCTTAAATGCTTTGCAGCTGTGATTGGCTCATTCGGAAAGCAAACAGAACAGGAGACTTGCCAAGCACTGCCACGGTACCTCTGCTGGCCTGTCTGGCTGACTCAGTAGTAAACGGTTTTGTTCTGCAGAGCCAAGAGGATCGAAATGACTGAAATGTTTTAATGAATGAGAAAGAAGTAAGGGAGATTAACTTGTCCCCACCATCTCTAAGCAGTAAAAGCATCGGACTAAATTAGCCTGTCAACATGTGCTCCGGGCCAAAACTACACTTTTAGGGTATGTGCAGAAGACAAGAACTGACAGCCCAAAAGTAGTCCATGACAACCAGCAGTCAAACAATATAAGCTTTTAAGTACATATTTTAACATTTTACAGGTATCGACAGCTCATCATTGACGTTCACTCAGAACTTTACAGACCCCTTTTTCAGATAGAACATGGCATATTGCGTGCTCAGACATTTAGAAGTGTGTTTCTTTTATAATCACTAGTCAATTCAGACAAACAAAAACACAGACCTAACTTACCAAAACTTCCTGTCAGATTGGCACATATCACAGCCCCAAAGAATTCCGGATAATACTTCTTAATTCTTAAAATCACTTTCTGGCAAGCTGTGAATGGGTTGTCTCCTCTTCTCATATATTCTACAGCTTGGTAGCTAATTTAAATAGAGGTGACAACTTAATATAAGAGAACAGAATAAACACTAACTTCACCTTAGGCGAAGCTGACGTCAGAAAATCTGAACCAACCATACTGTCACACTTAGAATACCTATGAATGAACATGAGTCAGTAATTCCAGTTACAGCCTTAACATCAAGGCAAGCAAGCCCTGCTACAATGTCATCTCTTCAACTCATCCACCGTTAATTTCAGACGAGGACGATTATTTTTGACTTTGGCTGAGTAACTGTCATTTTAGTAATAGCAGTCAGAAGTCACAAATAGAGGTTACATTCGCATGGGGAAAGAAGCTACAATCTCGGGAGAAAATCCCGCACGTGTTCAGGACATCCAGCGGTAGTTTTTCTACTTTCCTCGGTCCCTTCACCATGGCCTTGCGTCAGTTCATTAAACACATCATAAGCCTTCTCCTCCACGAAGCAGTGAGGCACTTTTCATTCCCCAAGATAATGGTGACTCAAGGGAATGATTACAAACGAACTGGCGGCGACAACTACAAACCAAAATACCTTACACGGTCTCACGAAAGTCTCTTCTGCACATGAATTAGGAAAACACGCTACAAACATCGACTATGTCCTGACATGACACAACTCTTCTAAGCATCTCTAAAATTGACAAAGGTAAGAAGTCACACCTAGGCAGGAAGCGCAGTAGTATGTCGCCATCCCCCGTGGCAGCAGCTGCCCCGGCCGTATCATCAGCATAGGCCCCAGCTCCAGGTACTGGCGAGTCTCCTACACGACTTGGTGCGTAGAGAAGAGAACGATTTAGAAGAGGAAACCAAGTGTAAACTAAATCATGTTATGAACTGTTTCAAAATTAGGGGCTGCTTTCACAGCGCCACTGGTTACTGCTTTAAGTAGATTCCTCACTACATTGCATTGCTGCTTGGTTTTCAACTACAGTTTTCAGACAGCTGTGTTCATTATATGACTTGCTTTCCAGATAGATGTACAGTGTAACAAAACTGAACTATAGAAAAAGATTAAAATATTGGTTTGTCTAGAGTAGAGAGAGGGGAGTTGGTGAGATGATGGCTGGCAGAAAAAGAAAAGAAATTTTAATTAAAATGGGAGGAATAAATTCTAGAGATGTGCTACATTTAATAATAATACATTTGATATGTAACCACTAAGAGTATATATTTTAAAAAGCGTGTGAGATAATACATAAGTTAAACAGCTTGGTTCAACTATTTTACATGTTTACACATATGAAAATAGCACGTTTTGCTTCAAAACTACATCTTTTACTTATCAATTAAAATTTTAAACAAAAACTTGTCGTCAGTGTGTTGTATCGAATCACACAGATTTACAGTGACTGTTCTATTATTATACCTTTCTTAATGTCTGCAGTACTTGAACAGTTCTGAATTATTTTCTTACACTGTTTCCTAAGTAAGGTGTCAAACTTTGACCAGTTTCCCCTTTTAATAAACGTACTTAATGCCTTTGTTCTAGTTAAAACAACAACCTCCTACACAAGCACACACACACGCACACACACACGCACATACACACGCACACACACACACACACACTCCACTTCTGTTCCAGCCAGCAGAAGCCCTCAACCTGAAGTGTTGTACACACTGGTTGCATTGGCCGTGTGCTGTGTGTGCTCCTTCAGCCCTGTGTTCAGGTCCCAGTCTCCACTACCACTTGACTGACATCACTAACAACTCAGGATCCAGACTGACCCGACACTCCTGGACTCTGAAGCCCTGGCTGTGATGCTTGCTTTGGCCAGTCTCACACGGCACCATGCTTCCTTCACACTTGTCTGTTAGGGAAGGGTTTCAGTTTTGTATTTCGTACCCTATAGCAGCCCTCGCATATATAGCTTTACATTGGATACATAGCTGAGACGAGAAATCTGCTCTTGGGGAAACACTAACCCAGGTATTTTGAATTTTAAACCATTTGTAGATGTGCCCGCAGCGGTATGTCCCGTCTTATGGATTACAACCATGCCTAGAGGTTAAAAAAAAAAAAAAGTAAGTACCCAATGCTTCCTTTAAATATAGCCAAATAATGGATCAGCTGATGACTGCTGTGTTTGAGGGATGTTTATAATCCATCAAGTCTATGGTATTGTGTTTTTATATACTTATTCTATTAAGAAAATAAAATATGTTCTCTCCTTAATTACAGGTAGGATAAAAGGAAAAATTAAGAATATTGAAAACTGTATCAGTGATATTATCCTACGTTAATGACTTGGTTTCATAGTAGCATTGGCCAAAAAAAAGCAAAGAAAAACAAAACAAAACAAAACAAAAACCCCAAACTCATACTCTTACTCTTCAAATCTACCAGGTACTTTCAGTACCTTTTCAAAGGCAATTCTCCCCCCAAATCATTCAGTTTGATTAAGAGAACTTGTCAATAATATAGCTTAGAAAAATTATTACAAGTCATTTTATATAATAGCAAAATACATGAAATAATCAAAGCATTAAATATTAACAATTTGATAATCTACAATTTAATAGTCAATGGATATTTGGTGTATTGTGTAATTACAAAACTTTATACAGATGCTAAAACAAAATTATATTTATATATTACAAGCATAAATTTGTATGTGTTTAAGCTCATTATATATGTACATATGTGCATTTATATATAGTGAGAGAAAGATACACATAAGAAGGGTGTATTCACTTGGCATTTAAAATAATGAAAGCTAGCTAACTTCTAGAACATTAATAAAAATGAATATGAGCTACAGAATATCATAACTATAATAATCAATAAAATTGTATAAAAAGTGAATTACCAATAGTATCATGACCATGGATATCCACTTTTTTTTCAACAGGACTGCCCTTCTCCAAGACACCAGATGGTTTGTAGGGTCCACAGTATTTTGAAGGATCTGGTATAACTTTCTGTAAACAGGATTCAAGTGTTTTGGTTAAAAGGGTGTTTTAAGAATTGGCAAATAATTGTGTAAAACTGATAATCACTGGTTGTAAACCAAAAAGACATCAGTAACTAAGAGCTCAAAAATTCACTTAACCTTACGTGAAAACTGAGGATTCTCAAAATTGCATTCTATTGATGAGACAGATACAAGACAAAGACCAAGCCGATGGATGCCCTCTTTATATCCATTCAATTTTTAGAATAATGGCAGACATCAAGTTTTTTTTCTTAATTACATATTAGCCACAATGGAACAAGTACCTAGCCTAACCTTTATCTGTCACAATATGGTTCCCAGATGATAAATTCTGAGATTTCAAGAACAATCTGCTTTAAAAGCATGTTTACTTTCAATCTAGGCTTATAAGGTATCTAACTACAGACATATGACATTGTCAGCTCTAACCTTCACACTTGAGAACTGCCCACTCAACTTATAATAAACAAAACAATGCTGCCCAAAATATCACGTTGTAAGCATTTTATGAATTTGCGTTTGGTACCTCACCTCTTTGGCTCTCTTTAGCTTCCTGTAGCCTGCAAACCCTAGACTGACCCCTATGGTTGCAGCCACTATATAGTGGCAGTCTAAGACTCCTTTAAATATTAAAAGTACAGGGGCTGGAGAGATGGCTCAGTGGTTAAGAGCACTGACTGCTCTTCCAGAGGTCCTGAGTTCAATTCCCAGCAACCACATGGTGGCTCACAGCCATCTATAATGAGACCTGGCGCCCCCTTCTGGCATGCGGGCACACATGGAAGGCTGTACACATAATAAATAAATCAGAAAAAAATTAAAAAAAAATATTAAAAGTACAGGAATATACCAATACATTTAGATTGTCTGAACAGATTGGTATTATGTAAGCTAAATACTTAATACAGGTTCAGTACCCCTTATTTGAAAGGTTTCAGACTAGAAGTGTTTTGGATTTTTTTTTCTTCAGATTTTGGAATTTTTATATGTTCATGAGATATCTTATGAGTGGATAGATGTCTAAGCATAAAATTCACCTATGGTTTATGCCTATCTATATGATTAGTCTGAAGATTACGAATCTAGACTTTTAGTTGCACTTGTGATTTGATGGCAATTCATTGAATGAAGCAGCACGGCCTTTGGAACTTGCACTATGGCATTTGCTGGTGCTGAAAGAGTTTTGCACTTAAGATTTTTAGTTTAGGGATGCTCATTTTACTCACACCTATAACACTCATGCACAGGTTACCATGCAGCTGTTTTATGAAGATTTTTTTTTTTTGAGCTAAACCCTGAAAACTATGGTAATTAGGGTCTAAGGAAGAAACAGATTGGAGACTAAGAAATTCCAAAAAGGAATCTGTGTGGCAAATCATCTGTGGAACAATCTTTGTATCCTGTAAATGTGTATTGCTCTCATTGGTTAATTAAAAAAAAAAAAGACTGGCTTTTAGTTGGGCAGTAGAGATTGGGTAGGAGAGATGGACTAGAATTCTGGGAAGAAAGGCAGAGGCACTGGAGATGCAAGCAAAGTTAGAGGAAGCAGGATGGGTAGAATATGAGGTAGCAATCCACGAGCCATGTGGCAGAGGGTAGATGAGAAATATGGGTTAATTTAAAATGTAAGAGTTATCTAGTAACAAGCCTGAGCTATTGGCTGAGCATTTACAATAAATAAGTCTTTGTGTGGATATTTTGGAGTGTTGCCAGCACAGGAAAACTCAGCCTACAAAAATCAAACTGATTAATGCTAAAATTCCTAGTAAAGAAAATTGATCCCACGAATGACAAGCCAGAGACCTAGTCAAAATACGGGCAACGTACTGCATATATTTCACCAGGATAATGTCTAAGAAATATTTTAGACTTTGGATCTTGTTTCATGAAAATGCAAGCACAACAATGTTGATGGTGTCTACCCCATTCATCACACACAGTAAACCTTCAATTTACAAATTCCTGCCAGAGAGCAGGAGTCATCAACCCCAGGGAATCACTCAGCATTTTCAATTTGCTTTTTCATGTTGAATTCACATACATACTCTCCAATAATTTGGCTGGCAATTCCGAGCAAGCCAGTCTGAATGAAGAGCTTTTGAGGCACTGGTAGATAAATTCTCATTGGTAAAACCCATGCTTTCAGCAAACTTGGTGGCTGGAGATGAAAGAGAGAAGTATAAGCCCATGCATTTCTAAGGAAAACCATGCACTATTGGCATTCTGGGTCAGCCATCTCTCACATGGGGTATGGAAAGGCATCTGAGGAGGGTGGAACATGGGCTTTTTAAAGGAGTGTTTGGATGTAAGTAGTTTTTAGGGAGTCATTTCTGGATTTCAGCTTCCCTGTGTCTTTTCTATCACTGATCTATTGGAGACTTTTGGGCCGAGTGCACATTTCTGTGACTGCCTTACTTCTACCATCTCCCATTCCTACTCTGAAGCTTACCCCTGTCACCTCCAGAATTCTCTATCGCTCTAACTAGAGGAAAAAGAACCCAACAGACAAATGAATTCCAAAGACCAAAACACATCCTTCTCAGAGAGTCTGCAATTCTATTTCAAGCCTATTAAGGTTGCTTCATAAATATATTTATCATTATATATTTTTTTTTTTTATTCTAGGCTACTTTATGACCTTCTGCAATGGAACTTGGAAAGGACTCAAGGGACAATGTAATAGGAGTCTCGTACCTGTAGGAAGACAACTGATAGTGGCCCTGTTTCAATAGAGATCACTCACAGACAGATACTAACGTACTGTTCAAAATGCAGTCGAAAGACAAAGCAGGATTTAGAAGTAACCTATCCAGCTAACCAGACATGGAATAAAACAGTTGTTAATTTTAACTTGGATCTCCTTTGATCTCTACTTCACAGTGAGTTCTACATTTTTTTTTTATAGTGAGCATAGACAAAAAGACTAGAACAAAACTTCAGTAGGTTCAAAATACCTGACTCCCCTACTAAAAGCGTGTGTGTTGTATGCTCCAGGACTTTCCGAGCCACTCCAATTGCATTTTTAATTCTTCTGAGGTCTCCTACTGCTCCCACATCCATAGCAGTGCTGTAAGGCAACAATACAGGAAGATTTACGGAAGGCATTTTCTGTTGGTACTTGAGCAGAAAAATTGCATTTCTCTAAGCAGCAATATGTGGAAGGCTAAAACTCCATCTTACCACAGAAGCGAAAACAACCCGTAAAGTTCATGGATTCCCACAGACAAAATTAAAGAACAGAAAGTCAATTTACTGAATATCTCAACAGCTTATTTTAAACACGGCTTTTAAAAGAGGCCTTCAGGCTTCAGGTTACTGAAGCCACAGCAGGTATAGACGGCAGGTAAATCACTGGGTCAGGGGCACAGCTTTGGATTCTGGGCTTCTCATCAGCAAAAGCGACTTAACCACTTACTTCGCTGTGATGACCTACTATCAGGAGGACCTTTGGGCTTTGCTTTCGGGTTAACTCTTTGTGTTTAGGAAGGACAAGCATCATACACGTGGAGTGGGCCACACTAAGGCAACCTCGCACCTCGTTCTCAGAAGACCGTACTCCTGAAGATAAGCCAGCCTGACATGAAAGCATAGAGACACGTCCTGCAGAGTGTGCTTACCCGTCCATGATCATGGCATCCAGGGTGGTTTCCCCAAGTTCATCGGGACTTCCTCCATAGCCCACTGTGCCACCGCACTGCTGGCTCTCACACACAGCACAGCCATGCTCAACCGCATCCAGGGCAGAACCTCCAGACTCTAATGTCCGCCATGCTGTTAAATTCCAATAGGGCTCATTTATAGGCATATATTTTTCAACGTGAAATACAACAAGCCAAGAACATTTTGGAAGGCCTATTTAAGCTTTTTTTTATTCTTTAACATTTATACTATTAAGCCGAAATCTTAAATTATTTTATCAAATCGTACAAAAGTGCTGTATTATATCACTAGTTACTATTAAAAAGTCAAAGACCTCAGCTCTTAGTGGAAAGTGAGTATCTAACTACCTTATCAGTAAGTGTTTCTTCTCTCTAACAAATTCATCATCCTAAACTGGGCAATGGTGGAGCATGCCTTTAATCCCAGCACTCCGGAGGCACAGGCAGGCAGGCATATTTTTTGTGAGTTCCAGGCCAGCCTGGTCTACAAGAGCTAGCTCCAAGATAACTAGGGCTGTTACATAGAGAAACCCTGTCTTGAAAAACCAAAACCAAACCAAACAAAACAAACAAACAAACAAAAAAAAAAAACAAAAACATCATCTTTAGAAGGGATAACTGAAACTCTTTGGAGACAGTTGAACTGAACAGCATTTTCAGCTACAGCTTTAACATTTCTTCATTACTTTGCTTTGTGAGATTGGGTCTTACCATTAGATCAAGCCCAACTGAAAATCCACGCACAGCCAATGCATGTCTAGAAGTCTGGATTTCCTACCACAGCTTCCGGAAAGCTGGGGTGACAGCCATGTGTCACACATTAGATTACTAAACTATTCATAGCTAACTTGATAGCATTTGTGACAGCAAGTCTAGACACAATATCACAACAGCAAACGACGTCACTTGGGCGAATAAATCTCATCTTCACGCAGCTTCTGAGATATTATTTTCATTATAATTCTCGTTTTCAAGAGAAATGGATAGATGTGATTCAAGGCCACACAGTGTGTTTCAGAAGTTGCCCAGTTTCGAAAGCAGACACTTTCTCTAAGGTGGCCACATATTTATAGTGTTCTGGGGACATTCATGTAGAGTGGGTATGTCTTGAAAGGGCAGCCACTTTACTTCTAAGTCTTTGAAGATTTTTTTTTTTTATATAAGTGCCAGCTAACACAGAACTGTCCCCTGCACATGACATTGGACTTCCTTTGTTTATTATTAATTGTTTATTATAGTTGGGAGTCTCTTTTTTAGTCTGATTTCTCATTCTCTCTGATTCCTATGCATCCCCCACAACATACAAATTCTCCTACACTTAATTCTGTACCCAATTGTGCCCACAGATGTTTAATATGATAGCAGTCTCAAATGTGACAGGGTTGAGGGCTATAGGTTACAGACAGCCCCAAGAAACTTACGGATAATTTTAATGTATAATCAAGGGTGGAAGCTATCCATCAGTCTCAGTGACAAGGAAAACATGACAAGCAAGCATGGATCAACTGGAACCCAGAGAGTACTGGAGAAACAGAAGGCTTTCACAAGAAGTGGCATGTGGGAGACAGAACACATCATGGCAAAAGACTGAGTGGCACAAAAAGTAAGGCAGGTTACCCTTGCGGAGCAAAGCAGGAAGGCCTGAGGGTCACAGGTCAGTTAACATGGTGCTGGGAGCAATAAATATGCCTGAACCTAACATGCAGCAGTGGCAGGGAGTATGGAGAAAGGGTCAGGTGCCAAAGCGATGCAGGGAGAAGACTGGAAGGAGGCCCGGGTTCGGCAGCTGGCTCCGTCGCCCCTACGTAACTTTATTAGCAGGGCCGAGAGCAGCTTCCCGCAGAGGAGCTCGCACAGCGCGGCCACCCAACCCCGGCCGCTGCTCCGCACCTTCAGCTGTTGCATTCGTAAAAGGCCAAGTGTTGAGGACCAGCGGCAGGAGGCTGGAGCCCTGCGCCAGGGCGATGCCCAGCACCAACGGTAGGAGACGCAAAGGCAGATTCGACTTCCGCGCCATAGCAGAACGCCCAGCGGAGCAGCACGAGAAAAGTCCCAGCCAGCCGCGCGCCCAGCGGGCCAGCACGAGAAAGGTCTCGGCCAGCTGAGACTCTAAACTCGTGATTCTCCTTTGGTCTCCAGCCAACTCCCTCAACTCTCGCGAGATGAGGCCTTCTGCGGGCCCCTGGAGGCTTTTTTTTTTTTTAAGTCTGGTGCTTAGGTTCTGTACTGGCCAGCTCTGTGGAGCTTTATTTATTTATTTGTTTGTTTGTTTGTTTGTTTTTTGTTTCCTTTTGTGCTCATGTGCTGATACATATACACATTTAGTTCTTTGCTAAAATATAAAGTATACTACTTAGCTCTCAGTTAAAGGTAGATTGACCTCTTTGGAAATGAATATAAAATTATGCAACCTTGAGTGGCATCACACGAGCTTCCGATAGCTGACAGGTACTATTTGACTTCGACGTACTTGCCGACTTAGATGCACATTAAATGCTGAAAATCAGACCTAACTCATATTCCGGATTTCCTCAAAAACTGAAAACGATTCTGAATACAGGTGCCGTGTTTTTGCTTAGGACCAGATTCGTTCGACGTGTGTTTGACACATACTTTCCATCATTTCTTCACCATAGCCTTTTGTAGGACGTCCTTTCGTTACAAATCCCTGAGCTGGAAGGGAAGGACATGCTGGGCTAATAGAAACTTACCCTTACCTTGCCCACTGAAGTGCAGACTGCTCGCCTCCAGGCAGGAACGCTAACTCCATTCTTTTCAGAAGGTATTTTATTTTATCTTCATGCCTGGCACCATTAAGTACTAAATAAATGTTTGAATAAAAGGAGAAATGGGAGCCTTACATGCGTGGTACCGGCTGCTCCTTTTGATAATTCAGTTGGCGCGCAGATGTGTGAGCATGGACCAGTAATCCCATTGGGGCTCTGGGATGCTTGTCCATGTAGCTGAAGGAAGACATAATTTTAAAGAGCATCTATAAATCTATCCAGACTGGTAAAATATGAACTACATGGGAGTTGTGAGGCTTAGAAAATCTTCAAGGTTCTTGTTGAGTGGAAACCGAATCTGCAATTTAAACAGCATAAGATAGCCTAGAATTATCCCCAGGCAGGAAAGTGCTATTAAAAAGTTAGGTGTAATTAAAAAGAAACGACACATGATCTTTCTATGGGGTTTTGGAGGAGGCCCAAACTACTTGTGCTGTGCTAATGAGCATGAAGCTCATGCTAGGTGAGATGGGAAAGATGGATGAAACGGAATAAGAAAGCAAGGAAAACACTTATTGTCTTCGGAATTAATTTCCCGTAGCACCTGGGTTGTTATTTATAAGTTCAAAGAACTGAGACATGCCTTCAGAAATTATAAAATATAATACATGGAAAATTGATCTTAGTTCCTGCAGCTCTTTTTTTTTTTTTTTTTTTTTTTTTTTTTTTTTTTTGGTGATATAATTTCTTTAGCTGAAAGAACCCAGACTCTTACAGAGGCAACATGGCAAGACGGGCAAATTTAAGGGAACAAGAGAAGGGGGAAAACCCTCCCTTCTGGGATCTTATTTGCCTTTTCTGCTGAGAGTCAAGAAGCTTCAACAAAACTGATAAAGAGATTTTATTTTCTGTAGAGATTTGTATTTTCCTACGGACAGCTCAAACAAGAATGCTAAAAATGACAGTCTTTACTTAGACCGGGTGTAACCTTGGATTTTTACAGTATTAATACCCCTAGCATATCCTTAGATGGACAAATTTCTGAGATTGAAGGAAATTTTATTTAAATTTTAAGTCTTTCTACATTATAACACCTTGTAAATTGTATCCATTAAGGAATGCAACTTAGTCATATGAGCGGGCATGCACACACACACTCACACACACATACACACACACACTCACACACCCACACACTCATTGTAAAAACACTCAAGCACAATTCTACTGAGAGAAACCTTTACCGTGGTTTGGAATTGTACATCTTCATTAATAATCTCACTGACTTGGCTCAGGCTGCTCATTCTCAAATTCGTTTCCTAGACCTATTCAAGGTTTGGGGTAACCCTAGGTTGGAAGGAAACTCCAGGTTTTTGGTAATAAGCTGTATTAGACTGTGCCTGCCTTCTGCCCACTCCTGACAGCTCCTCACATGGTGTCCACTCTTTTCTTCAAATTCTCTACTTACTTGAAATAAAAGTATTGTCTAAGAAATTCACCTGGTCAACTGGGTGGTGGTGGCACACGCCTTTAATCCCAGCACTCAGAAGGCAAAACTCTGTGAGTTTGAGTCCAGCCTGGTCTACAAGAGCAAGTTTCAGGACAAGCCCCAAACTAGAGAAACCTTGTCTGTATTCTGTCAATAATGTTTTAAATAAACGCTGATTGGCCAGGCAGGAAGTATAGGCGGGTCAACCAGAGAGGAAGTAGAGGTGGGGCTATGAGAACAGGAGACTTCTAGGAAGGAGGAAGCCCATTCCTCTGGAATCCTCCACAAATCTCAGAAGAAGCAGTATGTGACCTGCCCTGCTGAAAAATGTACTGAGCCACGTGGCTAACATACATAAGAACAATGGGTTAATATAAGTTACAAGAGTTAACAAGAAGCCTGAGCTAATGGGCCAATCAGTTTATAACTTATGGAGACCTCTGTGTAATTTCTTTGGGACCTTGTTGGCTTTCGGAACAGGGCAGGACAGAAACCCCAACAAACTGGCCCTCATGTAACATAACTTATTATTGGCCAACGCTTACCTATTAATTTAACCCATTTCTATTAATCTGTGTATCACTATGAGGTTGTGGCCTACAGGCAAATTTCCAGCACGTCTATCTCCAGTGGTGGCTCCATGGTGTCTTCCTGACTCTGCCTTCCTCCTCCCAGTATTCAGTTCCATTGTCCCCACCTAGCTCGGCTCCACCCTGCCCTGCTCTATGCTAGGCTCAAAGCAATTATTCATTAATGGTAATCACAGCACACCGAGGGGACTCCCACCTCACCTTCCTTTTTCCGTTTAATTAAAAAGGAAGGTTTTAACTTTAACATAGTAAAATTACATATAACAAAACAGTTATTAAGCAGGAAAATTTAAAGACAATTCCACCTATATTAGCAGTTTGTCAGTCAGTCCTATATCACATAGTTTTCTTAGGATCTACCCCACTTTCTTATTTCAATAATTAATTATATGTAACAGATATGTAGTGTTGATGGTTTTTAAAAGCCAGCTATAAAATTATTTTTATTCAAATGTAGAATGCATCATTTATTTCTGTTTTGTAAAATGTCTGTATTAATAAGGGAAATGTTCTTGTAACAATATCAATTTAAATTTAAGGCAACTGTATGGCAGCTCTGACTAGCTCATTTAATCTTCCAGAGATATGCTTTTCTTATCTATAATATGGAGATAATAATACTTTTTTTTGCTTTAATGAATGAGGTAAGAGTTAGATGAACAGTCAAAAAATAATTAAGTAATATGCTTTTGTTTTAATTAGCATTTAACAAATATCTATCAATTAGTGTCTGGGCGGAACAATCTGCATAGAATGTGGAAATACCCATGAAGTGGCTGGATACCTAGAATGCATCTTAAAGTGAGCACACAGATTTTTGACTGCATTAAATAGAAGCTCAAAATACTTTCCGTCCACTTTGGGTTGTCTGAAAGTTAGTATTGATGTTTATGAAGCTGGTGCATACGAGAGTTGGATGATTTCTGGATTCAAAATGCTTAAGTTTTTCAAAGAATTAAGTCTGTTGATCTTAAAAGCTGCTACACATACAGTGTGTGTGTGTGTGTGTGTGTGTGTGTGTGTGTGTTCAAGGTTGATGGGTGGTAGTTCTGGGCAGCTGTAAATTCCCCTCCTTTTCTGCTGAACTTCATGGCTTTCAATTTATCAGTCTCTAAAGGATGCAGAGTTGAGTCTTTCCTGATAGCATTTGAAGCTGTGGTTCTACAGAGGATTTAACGCTGTAGTTTGCAGGGAGTCTAGGTATTTCAAATCTCAGGCTTAAAACACTAAGCCATCCCCTCTGGCTTTTGCGTGGTTGCTGGGAAATCCATTTTAGAAACATGCCCATGTTTTGCTTCTTGTTCAAAGCTGTAAACGTGACTTGGCATTGAAATAATAATTTCTTCTGCACAAGTCCCCACTGAACTATGGGTTGTCTAAATACAGTCTATTTATTTGATTGGCATTTGCTCTTGTCAATTTTAGAACCTGTAAGTAAAGGTTTTTGCCAGTGTCAAAGCGCAGTGGTAACTGTTTCTAATTTGAATCTATTCTTTTTGCTAATCTAGGAATACTTAATGTTACCTGATTGTACATTCTGGATGTAATTAGAGTCATTATACAGAAATGTCATCTTATTATTCTCTGAGAAAAGAGTTTTCTTCCCTTCTGAGATATTATTTCTGGGTTATTCTCCCCTCCCCATACACCGTTTGTCACCCCAGTAGCAGATTCAAATCAGACACTTCCTTTTGACTTTTTAACCTTTAAAGTCATTTTAATGATATACAAGGACTGAAATAGTAAAATACTATGCTGGTCATCACATGATTTTTTTTTGCTCAAACTAAATTTTCTGCAACATATTTTCAACTTGTAATTCTAATCATAGGCCATTGGTATGATAAAATTGCTATAACAAGGATATGACAGATCCCTGTATATAGTAGCCATATTTTTATAGCAGTTGTTTATGATGCTATGGTTTTTTTCCTAAAGGCGACCTATTACTCTAACAGAGGCCTAGGGCAACAGAACAGATTTCTTCTTATCTTCCTTCCAATTTAGAAATCACTTTGAAATATTAACATCAACAATAATTGTAAACCTCCAAAGTAACAATGCCTTGTAGTAAATTTTATTTATTAAATTATATTTATTTGTTAATCATAAATGCATATATCTTACATGGAATTATGCAGGTGATTTGTTCTTACCCTGTGGCCCACTTACCACCTGCAATTCTGGAATCTTCTATCAGCTTTATAGGTTTTCAGTTGCAAATACCAGTAGACGTGAAGGTGGCTTTTACCTTTCTTTTTCTTG